TTTTGTAACGTAATTTTGGACTATCAATTTTCAAGTTTTCATAATCTATCGATCTACACTATTTTTAAAGCTTTAAATTTTATAAATAAATATGAAAATATATATTAAGGCTATCACAAAGATTTTCAGTATTGAAACCACATTTCTCGATACTATTTGAAGGTAGGCTCTAATTTGATTTTTTAGAGCCTAGGCTCTATACAAACCACACCCATATCTATATCTATATCTATATATATATATATATTAAGATACTCCAAGTTTTACCTAGGTACTTGGCTCGACAAGGGGCTGGGTCCAAGTGGACTCGACTAAGTCTTCTATAAAGATTTTCAAATTTCAAATTCACATGTGCCTAGTCGCAACAAAAAAGATGATCAGTGTCTTTAAAATTATGTCATATTTGGTTAATAAAGAAGAAAAGGAAACCCATGGACTCCATATTTATACGTGTGTCGGCCCTCGTGTAACACGAGGGCCGAAGACAAACAAAAGAATTCATGTAACATTGACACAAAAGTCGGGTGGCTGTGTTTCAAATTCCTCCAAATTCTATTCTACACCCATAAATCATCATCATCAAAACCTTTCCGAACTATTCTTTGTAGTAGTTGTCATAAGATCTCTCTTAATAACCGTCAGAGGATGATCTCTCTCTCTCCTCTTCTCTTTCTCTCTCTAATGGTAATGTCCTGTAACATTATTTGATGCATGGTTGTTTTCTTTTTGCAGATGGAATTGGAAATTGAAGCAAGAGTGCTAAGAATGGGACGAAGTGTGGGTATGGTCTCTGTGGAATTCAAGGATAAGGGGACCAAAAAGCTGGTTTATGCTGCTCGTGCCACCTTCTATAACACTCCTGTTTCAAATCTTTGATGCTTGAGGTTCTCATTTCTCTTCGACAAAGTACTAGTCTTTTATCGAGTAGTGTGGTTTACCTCAAGTTGCGGTGTTTTGCACTATATATTTTAGTCAGGTGATGTAGATTTGATGTGTCTGTTTAATTTAATATCAAATATGATATGTCTTTTGAGATGGTGTTAACATCTACATCATTCAAATAAAATAGAGATTACTGCAACTTTTGTAATTATTGTTGCAGCCAATATAAACTATTACCCCTATTGAGAAGATATACATTAAGAACATTTATATTTGGCGTGACGTTGCAATCACCCTTAGCCTTAATATTTCAAAATTTGACAGCTTGGGATATATTACAAAGTTTGAAAATTTTACTTTTGGACTTCATGCCTAATTAATATCAATATTCCAGTCTCCTAATTTGAAATATAATGGCCAAGGCAGTTGCAACATCCTTGTACCAAAATAAAGGATCTTATGGTATATTTTTCTATTTTTTTATTGGATGAGTATAGATTGGAGTTCTTATTTCTGATTTGCAATTGTATTTTGCATGTAATACTTTTCCTTGGAGGTGTTCTTCTTGGCTATGCACTCTTGGTGGAATTTTATGGAAACTAGAATGGATGTATCCCTTGCATATCCTTGCATATAATGATTCTTGAATGGCAACAAGATTTCATTTTGACTGTAGCTTAAAACCAACTCGTGCGTTTGCATTACATCCATTTGATTATCTCTCTCTCTCTCTCTAATATATATATATATATATATATATATATATATATATATATATATATGTCTCTACGTACGACCNCACCACCCTAC